TCTTGTTGTTTGTGTTCTCTGTTTATGTATCCTACAAGGATGTTTATGTGCAAAATCTTTCAATAAAAACAATTTCTGTAAAAAGGAGCAGATCATCGACATATAGAGAAAAGCTTATAATGGTCTCTTTGTAAAATATTAAAACATCACATGTTCCTCTGGTGGTTGGTGGTACAATCCATTTAGAAGAGTGTTGCTTGAAAAAAGAACATATACCAGAACCATAGTGCCCTCTGTCTTTTATAAAACACTTTATTAAATTAAAACAAAAAAATGGCCACTCAAATTAAAATGCGTATATAAATGCACATAAATTGTGTTTTAACACCCCAGAGCCACAAGCTGGGAGTTCCCAGCACCATTCTCTTATACTGTATCTAGTTTCACAATAATAAATGTATTATCTGTCGTGGTTGAATACATTTTGACGTTTGTTTCAATTTAAAGAAAAGTAGCTTTATTACTTTAACATTTTCATATGTGTGCATTGAAATAACATGTTTATTACAAATAAGAGTTATTGAACCAATTTTAAGAAAACAAAAACAAGCACTGGCCGCAACGTAGTGAAAGATCTGACCGCAAAAAGAAAAATAGTTGTGTGAAAAAGTGTTGGCTCCCTTCCTGATTTTTCATTGTTTTGCACGTTTGTCACACTTTAATGTTTCAGATCATCAAACAAATTTAAATATTAGTCAAAGATAAACACCAGTAAACACAACATGCAGTTTTTAAAGTAAGGTTTTTATTATTAAGGGAAAACAAAAATCCAAACCCACATGGCCCTGTGTGAAAAAGTGTTTGCCCCCTAAACCTAATAACTGGTTGGGCCACCCTTAGCAGCAAGAACTGCAATCAAGCGTTTGTGATAACTTGCAATGAGTCTGCTACAGCGCTATGCAGGAATTTAGGTCCACTCATCTTTGCAGATTCTGTCTTTTATAAAACACTTTATTAAATTAAAACAAAAAAATGGCCACTCAAATTAAAATGCGTATATAAATGCACATAAATTGTGTTTTAACACCCCAGAGCCACAAGCTGGGAGTTCCCAGCACCATTCTCTTATACTGTATCTAGTTTCACAATAATAAATGTATTATCTGTCGTGGTTGAATACATTTTGACGTTTGTTTCAATTTAAAGAAAAGTAGCTTTATTACTTTAACATTTTCATATGTGTGCATTGAAATAACATGTTTATTACAAATAAGAGTTATTGAACCAATTTTAAGAAAACAAAAACAAGCACTGGCCGCAACGTAGTGAAAGATCTGACCGCAAAAAGAAAAATAGTTGTGTGAAAAAGTGTTGGCTCCCTTCCTGATTTTTCATTGTTTTGCACGTTTGTCACACTTTAATGTTTCAGATCATCAAACAAATTTAAATATTAGTCAAAGATAAACACCAGTAAACACAACATGCAGTTTTTAAAGTAAGGTTTTTATTATTAAGGGAAAACAAAAATCCAAACCCACATGGCCCTGTGTGAAAAAGTGTTTGCCCCCTAAACCTAATAACTGGTTGGGCCACCCTTAGCAGCAAGAACTGCAATCAAGCGTTTGTGATAACTTGCAATGAGTCTGCTACAGCGCTATGCAGGAATTTAGGTCCACTCATCTTTGCAGAATTGTTGTAATTCAGCTACATTGGAAGGTTTTCGAGCATGATCCACCTTTTTAAGGTCATGCCACAGCATCTCAATAGGATTCAGGTCAGGACTTTGACTAGGCCACTCCCAATCTTCATTTTGCTTTTCTTCAGCCATTCCGAGGTGGACTTGCTGGTGTGTTTTGGATCATTGTCCTGCTGCAGAACCCAAGTTTGCTTCAGCTTGAGGTCGCCAACAGATGGCCGCACATTATGCTTCAGGTTTTTTGGTAGACAGCAGAATTCATGGTTCCATTTATCACAGCAAGTCTTCCAGGTCCTGAAGCAGCAAAACAGCCCCAGACCATCACAGTACCACCACCATATTTTACTGTTGGTATGATGTTCTTTTTCTGAAATGCGGTGTTACTCTTACGACAGATGTAATGGGACATACACCTTCCAAAAAGTTCAACGTTTGTCTCGTCAGTCCACAGAGTATTTTCCCAAAAGTCTTGGGGATCATCAAGATGTTTTCTGGCATAACGCAGACGAGCTTTTATGTTCTTTTTGCTCAGCAGTAGTTTTCGTCTTGGAACTCTGCCATGCAGGCCATTTTTGCCCAGTCTCTTTCTTATGGTGGAGTTATGAACACTGACCTGAACTGAGGCAAGTGAGGTCTGCAGTTCTTTGGATGTTGTTGTGGGGTCTTTTGTGACCTCTTGGATGAGTCGTCGCTGCGCTCTTGGGGCCATTTTGGTTGGCCGCCCACTCCTGGGAAGGTTCACCACTGTTCCATGTTTTCGCCATTTGTAGGTAATGGCTCTTACTGTGGTTCGCTGGAGTCCCAAAGCTTTAGAAATGGCTTTATAACTTTTTCCAGACTGATAGATCTCAATTACTTTCTTTCTCATTTGTTCCTGGATTTCTTTGGTTCTCGGCATGATGTGTAGCTTTTGAGGATCTTTTGCTCTACTTCACTTTGTCAGTCAAGTCTTAAGGTGCCCACACACCTTGTGATAATCGCGGGAAATCCCGCGATCGTACGATTATCGCAAGGTGTGTGGAAGGCGTGCAACCGTTTTTACTGTACGGTCGCACGACTTTTATCTTGGGAACATGTTCGAAAACCTGCCGAGAATCGTACGATTGTCGGCTGGTGCGTGGCATGTTCGTAAGATAAATGCCGCACGGGCCGGTGTGCGCTAGCGCACACTGCCCGTTCAGCATTGCGGTCATTGGAAGCCCGCCCCTCAGCGGGGCGGGCTTGCGATTATCGCAGGTACGATCAGCCTGTCCAAAATGGGCAGATCGTACTTTTTTTTAATTACCTTAGGTCTGTGTCCAGCTTTATTTAAGTGATTTCTTGATTGGGAACAGGTGTGGCAGTAATCAGGCCTGGGTGTGGCTAGAGAAATTGAACTCAGGTGTGATAAACCAGAGTTAAGGTGCCCATACACCTTACGATTATCGTACGATAATCGTATGCGACAGACTTTTCGTACGACAATCATAACGTGTGAATAGAGTGCCCGACCAATAGTACTGTACAATCGTACGACTTTTGACGGTCAAGCATGTTTTGAAAACTTTGGTCGATCGTACGATGTTCGCATGGTTGGTGGCGTTTCCGTCCGTCATAAGTCGTACGATTAACACTGCGCAAACAAAAATAATTGCGGTCAATTACCGCAAGTCGTCCAGGTGTTTTTTTTAAACTACCGCTGATTGAACCTTGCGATAATCAGGGCAGGATGGGGCCGTCTTACGAAAATCGGACGACAGTTCGATCATTGGACGAAAAGCTAATCGTAAGGTGTATGGGCACCTTTAAGTTATGTTTTAACACTTTTTTTACACAGGGCCATGTGGGTTTGGATTTTGTTTTCCCTTAATAGAAACCTTCCTTTAAAAACTGCATGTTGTGTTATCTTTGACCTAATATTTAAATTTGTTTGATGATCTAAAACATTAAAGTGTGACAAACGTGCAAAACAAAGAAAAATCAGGAAGGGGGCCAACACTTTTTCACACAACTGTATATATGAAGTATTGCATATTTGGTTTGCTTGATATACTCTGTCATGTAAATAAAAGTGTTTATTTAGTGATGTTAAAGCGTATCTAAACCCAAAAGCAAAAGTGTGATGGTGATCCTGCAAATAACACTTTCTGTCCCTTTGTTTCTACACTAATTTCTCTGCTGCACCTATGGAAGGAGCCATGGTTGTCACACAGGCTGGACTTCAAACATGTCTGCCTTTGTTTGTCTCTATTACATGGTGAATTGATGGGACAAGCAGTTTACACAAGAAAGATAAAGATGTTTTTGTTTACTTTGGCTCACAGGGAGAGACCCTGCATTTCTAGCAAGCTCAACAGGTATTTTCTGTACTTGCTGAAAATGTTCTTAACCTGAAAAATGAAAATTGATGCAGCCATGACTTTTAAAGTGTATTTTCACTTTTGCAGCCAAATTGGGATAACACCAATTTTATTTGTTAAACGCGCCCAAACACATAGCATAGTTTAGGGGGGAAAAAATTGTAGCTCACCTTTTTTTATGTATACAATCTTTGTGCTACCTCCAGGACTGAGAAATCCTGCTTACTTCTTACTATCTGGGTGGGGGCTTTTAGGGGAGTTTAGTTTCAAAGAGTTAATCTCGTTTTTACCGGGCTGGCTTGTAAACTATATGAGTAGGACTTTCTGTACTAACAAAGGGTTAAATCCTGAAGACATTGAGAGGTATTTATCAAATCAGTAGCAGACAAAATCTGTATCAGTTGCCCGTGACAATCAGCTTCTCTGTTTAGTTTGTTCAGTTTAGATTTGAAAATGAAAGAGAAGCTGACTGGTTGCCATGCACAGCTGCTCCAGATTTTGTCTGCTCCAGTTCTGATAAATTCCCCCCATTGTATGTTAATGAGGGGGAACTTAGCATTTCCTAAGTCTTTCTGTTCAAAGTTTCCTGTTACTGAAATAAAGAGATATCTAAAAGGTAGGAAGCATTTTTTTAAATTATTTTTAGATATACTGTGTGAATAGGAATAGATGACAAACATATAATGGGGGTTTTTCTCAATTTTGACTGTAAAAGTAAAAATACACTTTAACCAAGACATTGAGTTAAAGACTGCCGTACGTATATATAAATCCTGGTCCTGAAGTGGTTATACAGTATATACAGTAGCAGCCATGATCTTGGTATCTTTCTTTTCAGCAGGCAATGCTCATTTTGTACAAGTGATCTAAGCGGCTGTAGAGCCGAATCACGTGTAGCGCCCTAAATTTGTTTTTAGGTTTGGATGCCTTTTAAGTGATTGAAACAGGAAGACAATGAGCTTGCCTCCACCAATAAACTTCTGTTATTGCTACAACATTATTTATTTTTGTGTCATTTCTTGTAGGGTGGAAAAGGAAGAATTGGAGTTGTGATAGCATCATATATGCACTTTACCAATGTTTCCCTAGGGTGAGTTAGAAAATATTTTGACAACTGATGTATTTTGCAAAAGTGGTAGACCCACTTATAAAATATGGAATTACTTAAAATTCCTTTTATGCCTTCTCACTAATGCATTTTTTTTTGTACTGTTCAGCAGGCAGGTAAAATCACCTGGGTGTATCCAGAATGGCATATATGCGTGTCCAAGATTCAGGATGTATGCAGATTTTTTCCACCAGAGGGAGTGGTGGGAGGCTGGAATGGTAGAGGTAATGAGCCCAGCTGAAGTAAGCTGGCTCATTAGGGCCTCTATAAGAACTCCCAGAATGCTCAGAGATTGGCTCCACCCTGGAACCAGTTTAATACCTGAAGAGACTGGGGAGCTTTCTGCTGACCTGTGTGGTGAAAAAGGGAAAACAAATCTTGTGTGGTGAGACACAGCCTGTGTGGCAGTTGATGTAATAGGGAGATAGGTGCTAGGGGCAGCACAAGGTTGCACCTAATGGGTAGTGAGGGATAGCGTGTGTATAGTAAGTGGCCAACAGGCCAGGATTTATTTTCATGTTTTGTTTGTTTTTGCTCAACTTTTCTTGTAGCTAGTTATGAATAAACTGTTTTGTGCGTTTCACCCGAAGCAATCCTTTTTTTGCGGTGGCTAATTTCTGTGATGTGAACCCATCCAGGGGGGCACACACACCCGCTGCCGATCTAACACTCTCACTATATTATAAGCCGAGGTACCTATAGCGATCGAGCGTCTCTATAGACGCTCGATCGCTTGTATTAGAAGATCGCCTGTCTTCTTTCTTGGAATCTATTAAACCTCATTTATCAACAACATTACACTAGCTTGATAAATCTGGTGCAAATATATTCCGTGCAAGTTCAAACACTCGCAATTGCTTTGATAAATTCCCCCCATTGTGTCTCCAGTTTTTGTGCTATATATGAGCAATATTGAAAAATCTTACTCTTGCAAAGGGGGAGTGGGGAGACCTCTGCACGAGCTGGAATCAGGTAAGTCAGGGGTCTCAAACTCAATTCACTCGGGGGCGGCTCAACAAATTTTTTTCTCTCATGGGGGCTGCTTGCCAAATTTCATACTTTAAAATAAAATGTAACTATATCCGGTTTGGTACTACAGACACCAAAATACACAAGAAGGCCACATTCATATCTGTAGGTTTAGGTGCGATTCAGGATTCCTGCATCAGAAACTTGCGTTTTCCTGCACCAGGAATCCCTGATGTGGCGTTTACAAGTGACAGCTGTCACTCATTCAAGTTAATGATCAGGTAACAGAAGTTGCATGTAATCGCCTGCAAACCGCAAGTAGTGGTATGTGATATTATTACATGCGGTTAGGAATCACTCTCCCTGGATGCACAATCATTGCGTCCAGGGAGAGTGATTGATTCCTTACCGCATGTATAAATGTCTCATGCTCTCTTCTGGCTGTCTCTTTTCCCTGTCTCTCCTCCCTCTCTTTTTCCTGGCTGCCTCACCACAGTTTATTTTTCCTGGCAGTCTCCCCTTGCTCTCTCCTCGTTCTCTCGACTGGCTGTCTCTTCATTCTCTCTTGGCTGTCTCTCCTCCCTGTCTCTCCTCACTCTCTTTCTCCTGGCTGTCTCACTACAGTTTCTTTCTCTTTTTTTGGCAGTCTCCCCTCGCTCTCTCAACTGGCTGTCTCTCCTTGCTCTCTCCTCGCTCTCTCGACTGGCTGTCTCTTCACTCTCTCCTCGCTATTTCTCTTTTTCCTGGCTGTCTCTCTTTGCTAGGTTACATGCACATATTACACTGCAATGTGGTGTGTGTGTGAGAGATTACACATATGACACACATCAGTGAGATGGGATCTGTTCAATGGAGAATACAGTTATATCTATTTGTCTGTTTAATTATTTCTGTAGATGAAGTACAAAGTGCTGTGAAAAAGAGGAAGGGAAAACAGACAAATACATTTGGCAAAAGACAGAGAAGTAACTAAGAAACCTCAGGGCCCCGGTGCTAGAAGCCATGAAGGCCCCCCCCCTGCTGCGGAGCATTGGCCACCTGGGAGCTGAAGTCCCAGGAGGCAATGTCAGTGCCTCGGCAGCTACTGGGCTGGGGCCCTCTTCTTCCTTTCCAGGCCCCCCATGTAGCAGAACGCCAGTGCCTGGTTGCACATGCGACCACGGGGGTATAACAATCAAGGCATGCTGGGACTTATAGTTCAACTACAACCAGCATGCCTTCATTGTCCCTGTAAACCCTTCCACATCAATCCGGGAACTTCAAGTTCCAGCATGCAAGTCCCATAAGTCCCCTGCAGTAGTTCCCTGGTTGATATGTGAGAGGTGTACAGGGGCAGTGAGTGCATACAGGGACTTGTAGTTACCTGCATGATAGAAGGCTCTTTTAATTACTTTCCTCATGAAAATACTAGTAATACAAAGCCATTATAGTACAGTAATTTTCAGGTTCAACTATATTCTCTTCTATGTTTCTATAATGACATTGTATTACTAGTATTTCATGAGGACAGTAATCAAAACAGCCTTCTATCATACAGGGAACCACAAGTCTCAGCTGAACTGCCGACTTGTAGTTTTCTAGTAATACAATGCCATTATAGAACATGGAATAGAATAAAGTTGAACTTGAAACTTTCAAATTCAGCCATGATCTATTCAATAATCTATAATGGCAAGTACTTACCTCAGCTGTCACGGTCTTCTTGTTCTCGCAGCTGGAGGAAGCTTGAGCAAGCTGGAAAAACAAAAACTAGCGTGGGGGACAGTGGCCGGAACATCGAGGCGGGTCTCTCTGTATTATCGGCTGCTGGGTCCTCGTGGCCGAGGCCGCAGTGCTGCCCCATTATGTGCCTGTGTTCACTGCCCAGCGGCCAGCGCAACCTCCTCCCGCCTGTCCGTCTGTCTTTGTGCTCGGGGCCTCCCCCATCGCCCCCCCCCCGGTTGTTATGCCACTGCCGGAACACCAGCGCCAGGGCCCCTTCTTCCTTTCTGGGCCCCCTCTAAGTGGCAGAACGCCAGGGCCCGGTCACACATGCGACCTCTGCGACCCTGGCAGTTCCGCCACTGGCAAAAGACAACTTTCGTTGACCCTGTAATACTCTAATGTCAGCATAAAAATCGAAAGGAAAAGTTGATGCTGAGCAAAGGAAATTTCAATTGTTCATTTGTGGAGTTTAATAAGAGTGCTACTTGCCTAATATGCAATGAGTTGCTGTTCTTAAAGATTATAATCTTAAGCAGCATTATACTGCTAAACATGCAGATCAGTATGCAAGGATAATAAAGGCAGAGGAAAATTGCCCAGCTTCAGAAAGGCCTGCACATGCCGCCAAACCTCTTCAAGTGGGCAAAATAGCAATGCGATACAGGAGTTGAGGCTAGCTATGTGGTGAGGGACCAGGTTGCAAAAGCAGGAAAGCCATTTACTGAAGGTCAGTTTCTTAAAGATTGTATGGTAAAGGTGGCCGATATACTTTGCCCTGAGAAGGCAATTTTATTCAGAAACATCAGCTTAGCAAAAACAGTGGCAGAGAGGATCAGTGATTTGTCAAATAATATTTATGAGCAGCTGTGCAAAAAAAAGCTACAAAGTTCTGTTTTTATTAATTGGCTCTTGAGAGTTCTGACATAAATTACACTGCTCAGCTCGCTGTATTTGTCAGAGGAATTAATGGCCATTTTGAACTGACTGAACAGTTGCTCAGTTTTATTGCAATTCAGGGAAAGACTACAGACCGCAACATATTTCAGCAACTCTGTGATATAATTGATTGTGCTGACCTGCCTTGGGATAGACTGGTTGGAATAACCACAGATGGTGCCCCATCAATGACTGGGGGGAAAAAATGGCCTAGTGGCGCTAACACAAAGAAAACTAGAAGAAGAAAATGCAGATCCTGCTATTTCTTTTGCATTGCATTATTTATCAGCAGAAGAGGTTCTATGAACTGAGGAAAGAAGTCAGGACATTTCTGATGGATGGAGAGTCTGGATGTTCCTGAGCTTGATGATCCCAAATAAGCCAGGGACTTGCCATTTTTGGTTGTTATCACACAGGAGCGCCCTGCCTGCTGCAGCGGTCTGTATCCCCTACCTGTCCCATTGTCTCTGCTGATAGAGGCAGGGAGGGAAGGGGACACAGACTGCTGCATTCAGCGCCTCCCAGAAAGGGGGAAAATAGTGGAGTAGAATGGCGGCAGCAATTGACAACGATTCTCATTATCGATTAAATCGATTTAGTTGTTGCAGCCCTACTGAAAGATAAATATATTGCGGGGGGAGAGGGGGCCAGAATTTAGCAGTAATTCCATTTTCCAAAATTACTCCAGTTTTTTTTAAATTTAAATCTATTGCTGTAACAGGCTGCTTACAAGTGAGCTAGGCAGCTGTACAGTAGCACTCTACATTTAGGAATAATTTAACAATAATCTGCGCTTAAGGAAATAACTCTAAATCAATAAAAAAACTACTACTAAGCTGCTATGTAAAAGTAGCTGAAAGCTTCAGCAAATCTTGATAAAATCAACAGTGCTGAATATTAACTAAATAATATAAAACAAAAAGTGAATACATGTGTTTGCTTGAATAAATAAATACATTTAACAAGGAATAAAATTAATCCAAAAAATTATTTAAGAAAATTAATTAAGCGATCAAAAATTCGATGTGAGTAATAAAGTGAAAAAATTATTAAATATTGCATGTACGATTAGCAACGTAATCCATAAAAATGACACACTAAATGTGAAAGCAGTGTTATAAACCCAACAGTGAAATATAGTGTTTTCCTAAATATATGATATTGAATAATCCTTGAGGGTTTATATCACTGCTTTCACATTTGTGTCATTTTTATGGATTACGTTGTTAATCGTACATGCGATATTTAATTCTTTTTTTACTTTATTACATTTAATTTTTGATCGATTCTTAATTTGCTTCAATCATTTTTTGGAATAATTAATTTTATTCCTTGCTAAATGTACTTATTATTTATTCAAGCAAACACATTTAATCACTTTTTGTTTTATATTCATTTAGTTAATATTCAGCGCTGTGTTGATTCTACATTTTGGAAGCATGGCCAAATGAAGGAGAAAACCCCGCCCGACACCCTTGAACTACACATCTTGGGTGCAGCTATAATTCCTATCCTCTGAGCGATAGGAATTCCACAGCCCTGATGTTAAAGACCACTAGCTGAATGGATACACTATATTGCCAAAAGTATTGGGGCACCCCTCCAAATCATTGGATTCAGGTGTTCCAATCACCTCCATGGCACAAGTGTATAAAATTAAGCACCTAGGCATGCAGACTGCTTCTACAAACATTTGTGAAAGAATGGGTTGCTCTTAGGAGCTCAGTGAATTCAAGCATGGTACCGTGATAGGTTGCCACCTATGTAATAAGTCTATACGGGAAATTTCCTTGCTACTACGGTCAACTGTTAGTGATATTATAACAAAGTGGAAGCAACTGGGAACAACAGCAAATGACAGAGTGGGGTCAGCGCATGCTGAAGCGCAGTGTGCAGAAGTCACCAATTGTCTGCAGAGTCAATAGCTACAAACCCCCAATCTTCATGTGGCCTTCAGATTGGCACAACAACAGTGCGTAGAGAGCTTCATGGAATGGGTTTCCATGGCCGAGCAGCTGCATCCAAGCCTTACATCACCAAGTGCAATGCAAAGCGTCGGATGCAATGGTTTAAAGCACGCCGCCACCGGACTCTAGAGAAGTGGAGACTTTTTTTGGAGTGACGAATCATGCTTCTCTGTTTGACAATCCGATGGACGTGTCTGGGTTTGGCGGTTGCCAGGAGAACGGTACTTGCCTGACTGCATTGTGCCAAGTCTAAAGTTTGGTGGAGGGGGGGATTATGGTGTGAGGTTGTTTTTGCAGGGGTTGGGTTTGGCCCCTTAGTTCCTCTTAAGGCATCAGCATACCAAGACATGTTGGACAATGTTATGCTCCCAACTTTGTGGGAAGAGATTGAGGATGACCCCTTCCTGTTCCAACATGACGGCGCACCAGTGCACAAAGCAAGGTCCATAAAGACATGGATGAGGGAGTTTGGGGTGGAGGAAATTGACTGGCCTGCACAGAGTCCTGACCTCAACCCGATAGAACACCTTTTGGGATGAATTAGCGCGGAGACTGCAAGCCAGGCCTTCTCGTCCAACATCAGTACCTGACCTCACAAATGCGCTTCCGGAAGAATGGTCAAACATTCCCATAGACACACTCCTAAACCTTGTGGACAGCCTTCCCAGAAAAGTTGAAGCTGTTATAGCTGCAAAGGGTGGGCCAACTCAATATTGAAACCTACGGACTGAGACTGGAATGCCATTAGAGTTTATGTGCGTGTAAAGGCAGGCGTCCTAATACTTTTGGTAATATAGTGTGTATGTATATTTATCGTGCAGTAGAGCTGCAACCAACTAATCGATTAAACGATAATGAAAATAGTTGTCAACTATTCTCATTATTGATTTAGTTGGCTGGTTGGTGCCCATTACCTGCTGTATTTACATTCAGCTGCCGACTGCGGAATCTTGCCACTGGCAGCTGTCATTCCCTGGCTGAAGCTATTCAAGCGTTATGTGCTTACAATACAATTATTACAATTTTTTTTTAAAAGGTGGGATAAGGTTATGGTTTTGGCCCGACAAATTCTGCTGTGGGATGCGGTGCCATTCATTTTAATTCTGCTGTGCGATGCGGTGCCATTCATTTTAATGGCACCCCAAACACGCCCGCAGTGTGATCACCACTAGAAAGCACGGTACTGCGATGCCGTGCAATTACAAAAAATTGTGCATGCAGTTTTATTCTGAAATTTTGTTTGTAAAATTCAATTTGTGTATTTTAAATAAAAGATTGTATTTCATTGTTTTTATTCCATTAATCGAAAAAACTATTGACCAACTAATCGATTATGAAAATAATTGTTCGTTGCAGCCCTGCCTTTCAGCAAAGGGTCCTTCCCCTCCGCTGGTACGGGTGTGCTATCTGTACCCCATACTGCCATCCAGCGCAGCCCTGCACTATATATTTTGAATTTTACTCGCAAATTGCGAGGACTCCGAAGAGAAGCACTTCTTAGCACAGTTAAATAGGGTTTGGGTTATTTGGTTATCAGGACAAGTAGATTGAGTCCCCCAATTTAGTATTTGGGCAAGTAGTAGTTTTGTTTTTTTTAAATCTCCACACCCTGGAACATCCCTATTTATTTCAATGTTCTTGAGCTCATTTTATCAAACTGCTTTTTTTTTTAAGTCATATTACCATAATTAATGTTGTTTCAAACTTGCCTAAAATCCTAGGGAAGCATCTATTGATATCAAAGTTTCAGCATATTTGAATCAAGATAAGATAAAAATCAGTCAGTACAGACTAATGGCTCCTGCTTTACGCTTTGCCTAAAATATTTAATGGGTTTTTTTCACAGACAATGATTGCCTAGCTGTCCCTTTATGCCTTTCCTGCTTTTTTCGGCATTTAAGTCTTTCACTGTTCTTCCCAACCTTTTTTTTCTTTAAGTTCCTCTTTTATATCTATGCTCTTTGTAAGGATTAATTATTCACCAATTGTAAATACAAGCCCCCTTTTTATAGTTAGACTGCAGACAGCTTGCTTTATATGATAGACTAATAATCACTGCTTAGATTCCTTGTGACTCTAGTAGTTCTATCTGAAAGGTATACTTCATATTCTTATGTAATTATTGTGGGTTTTTTTTCCTCTTAGGGCTGACCAAGCTCTTGATCGTTTTGCAATGAAGAAGTTTTTTGATGATAAAGTGTCAGTACTGATGCAGCCATCCCAAAAAAGGTAGGTTGTTTATATACAAAGATGTAAATTTTAGCCTGTATTTATACTGAAAGAAAAATATACATATAGTTTGATACTGAATGTTAATAAAATATCAGCTGTTGCAACATAGTTAAGTATATTTAAAGCTCCAACTTTTTTTTTTTTAGTTTTGGATAGATTGGGGAAATGTTAAAACCTGCCAGGTTTCAATTGCTAAGGGCTGGTTCACACCACAAAGGCTGCATTCCAGAGTGTTTAGCCTCTGGAACGCACTGGGATGCAAGCCGGCCGGCTCCCTGCGTTGAGGGGCAGGAGGGGGTGTGGTGGTGCATTGAAGTCAATGGCACCGCAGCCACGCCCCCGCCCACAGTGCAATCGCCCGCACCCAGAACACAGGTACATTAGTGCCTGTGTTCCGGTCCAGTGCAATCTGCAAAAATGCTGTAAGCACTATTTTTGGAGATCGAAATGGACCAGATAATGGGCCACTAATGTGTCTGCGTTCCGGGTGTGGGCGATCGCACTGCGGGTGGGGGGTGTAACTGCATTGCCATTGACTTCAATGCACCGCCACGCCCCCTCCCGCCTCTGAACGCATGGAGCAGGCCGTCTTGTGATCCAGTGGGTTCCAGAGGCTGAACGCTCTGGAAAGTAGACTTTGTGGTGTTAACTGGCCCTAAAAGCAAAAATGGCCAACACACCTGGTAACAGATCTCAAATCTTTACTGAGATCTTTTTTGATATAACAATATAGCTTGTGCAGCAAAAAATATTAAACACTGATATTTTGAAGACACTGTGGTCCTTTGTCTAGGTGACCATATAATAAAGAAAATAAATAAATACATGGAAGAAATAATATATGTGTGTGTGTGTGTGTGTGTGTGTGTGTGTGTATATATATATATATATATATATTGGCACCCCTGCATTTGTCAGATAATGCACCACTTTGCGCAGGAAATTGTTGCAATTAAAAATGTTTAGGCATTCTCATGTTTTTTTCTATTGTAGCCATTTTTCAGTTTTCAGCGCAAGTTTGGCTGAGAACTGTTACCAGGTGCCATTTTTGTTTTTAGGAATTTGCTTCCTTTGGTTCTGAAAGTGCCTCACCCCCTCAAAATACGATTAAATATACAAAAGAAAGAAAAGGAGAAATGGGGTTTAAAGAGCCACAAGCCATTGCAAGGTTTTGGAGATTTGGAAAAAAACATGTAGTTTATTATGACATAAGTACCCTAAATACAGCATAATACCAATTCATGAAAAGACTTAAATTGTGTATCCTATCTGGGTTTTTATCATTCCTTCTTATGCAGCCAAATTACATACAGATACCAATATTCAGAATTTAATATTCTCCATATTGATCTTTGAAGACTCTTGTATGTTTAATCAGTTTGACTGTTTCCACGGCTTGCATATTCAAGTTGATCCAACGCGTTTCGCC